CAAAAACGGAGACTATTTCCAGTACTCCTCAAACATCCAGTCCAGATGCTAGTACCAGTACCTCTCCACCCACCAGTGCCACTACCACTCAAAGTGCCGTAACGGTCACTAGTGTCAGTACTACTCCGCCTACAACCAAACCAGGTGATATTATATTATATGATAAACAGAATATTACACTGGTCACTACGCTCACTCGTGAGAGATCTTTTTTAACACTCGAAGATAAAATTCGTATCTCCATGCGCCAATGCCATATCCTCTATTCAATAATATCGGAGGAACACTTGCTTTTCAATCATGTCCGTGTCCGTATATATATACGCGTTCGATACTTTAACAAACATGCGTGAGTCACATATAAAATATACGCGCGTGTTTATGATTGTGCGTGTGACAATGAAAACGCGTCCAGTAGAATCCAGTTTTGAATCGAATCGACAACCATACATTTTATGCCAGTTCTGTGGGAAGTAGAATTCTAAACCTCAGCAATTATCAACAAGAATCACTAAAGCAAATATAACGTTGCTTTGAACTACACTCCTCCCTAGTCAACTCTTTTTTTTTCTCCTTTGGGTTTCCTTTGTAACGGTCAACTTGGACGCTAGGGACTAGTTACTCCTATTTTGACTTCCAAAAAAGACAGGAAGCCCGTGATTCTTTGTGATGCCTGCGGATGAGGCTATATTTGTCAACAACGTAAGGAAAGTTTGAGATCAAGGAAATTCTCAAAGTCGCATGCCATAGCATCGATCATATTATCCTCGTGGATGACAACTTTACGCAAATTTCTCGATTAACAACGTTAAYATCCATCTCAAAGTTCCTACAAAAATCTTTGATCTTCTTCACGGTAGACGAACGAGAGGTCCACCATAACTTAATGTTATGAGGACTCAACTGAAACTTGAACACAAAGTCGCTCGTTTGAAATTGAAGTTTGTTGTCTTTCTCAAATTAAGTGATGACCTGTCAGTTTATTTTCTGTGGATTATGTACTTGATCAAACCTCCATTTCTTGCATCAAATGATCATAAAATGCATAAGTATCGGAAGTTTCTATCAAAAGTCACATATATTCTATAGTAAATTGACACAATTATTGTGCTTGGGCTACCTGTGGTGTTAATGGTCATGTTTGGACGTCTATCACCGACAGGTCAGTGTAAAGATGAAGTCGCCATTGGAATACAGAGTAAGGCTATTATTCCTGATGTATACATCAAAGCCAGTAAAAACAAAGACTTGGCAAAGATGGCAAGACTCAATGGTAATGGAGGTTGGTACTGTAAAGAGAATACACCATGTAGTGATCAATGGATACAAGTGAATGTGGGAAAGATCGCGAAGGTAAAAATGCACAAATGATATGCAGGTTACAAATCGAACTAAAAAAAACATTTTTAACTGGCCATTTCTGAATCTCACTGAGCTATAAAAACTGACTTTAATTGTTCTACCCAAAAGATTACCGGTATTGAGACACAAGGCGCTCACCAGTCGTGCTACACAGAAAAATACAGACTTTCTTACAGTAATGGAAGCACATTCACAAATTACAGCAATGGCCAAGTCCTCCACGGAAACACAGACCGGAATACCATTGTTTATAACGATCTTACGCCAGCCATTACAGCAAGATATGTACGAGTCCATCCCATGAAGTACAATGACAAGTCTGGGTGTGTCGGATTGAGAATGGAGCTTTACGAATGTAAAGACGATGAAGGTTAGTGCACACATTACATTTCGCTACATTGCTCCCATAGGTATGCTCTTTAGAAAACCCAGTCTTTAGGAAATCCAGACGTTGACATTTCTTTACTTCACCTGATACCTGGAGCCTAGGACTACATCAATAAATTTTCGGTTCACTGTTGAGATTGTGATGATTCGTGTCGACTTTGCGAGTGGTTTGCAATAGAAAAAAAACTTAAACCATCTGGATTTTCATAACCATTTTCTTTTCTATTTTTATAATTTGAGCAACTCTTAGAGTTGAATTCACGAGTTCTTAGAAATATACAACGACAAAACTATTCTTAAAGGGAACGTCACTTTCATCTGGTTAATGGCTCGCGTACTGATAGTTCAGAGCAAACAAATCCAAGCTAAGAAGATGCCAGTTGCGCCACCAGTTTCTATCTATCAGTATCAAAGGCTTACATTGTACTACTTGTATTTTAAATGCAAGAATACACAAAGTTGTTTGATT